GATGATACTAAATGCATGAACTGTGACTGAATTTAAACATGAATAAAATACAACATCTAAATTCTGACAGAACTCAAAAGGTAATAGAATTGTTTAATGAACTTTGAACTGTGCAAGTCTAACTCCAAAAAAAATTCTAAGAATGAGACCACCCTCTCTAGATTGGGGAACAAGTTAAGTAACTAGATTGGATCATCATTGAATTTTAAATATATATTAAGGGTTTTACAAATGAAGCCAATGTAAAATTAATTTGGTTTATTATTATTGTTGAAATATAATTAAGAAGACATAGTCAAAAAGACAGTTAAAAATTAGGGTTTTTTGTTGTTGTTCATTGTTCTTTATAAGATTATCAATAAACAAAATCCAAAGAGCTGCACCTTTAATCCACTCTGCACTGTGCAAACAGCCAAATGGCTCTGTGGAGCCTCAGTTTCCTTACTATGACAAGAATGATTTCATCAGCAGATATAATGATTCTAAAATAGTCTTTCCAGAAAAATCATACCTCACTGCATTATTTTCACTGATTTCTACATTGGCTAATGTTACCTATAAAACCTCAAGAGAGTGCTAGCTAATTTTACTAGTCACTGAACAGGTCAAAATACGTCAGATTTTACAAACACTTTCAATTTGACAAGTTAGCAAATGCGTAATACTGGATAATTATGAAGTCAAATAGGGGTTCTGGAGCTTAGTGAAGATTATGTGGCCTCATTAACTAGGAAACACATTTTAGTCAAGTACAGTCCTTTTGATGATATCCCTGCTTTTCTCTTGGATAAGGAAATAAAAAGCAAATTCCTCTCAAATATCAGATATTTTTATATATTATGAAAATAACTGAGACTTGTATATACCACTTCTGTTGTGGGACATGCTTCTTTGTATCACACTCATTTTTACTCAAAGTGTTTGCTAAAGTTGCTTAAAGTCAATAAAGAGTTACAATAGGTATGCCAAAGAGGAGTGTTGATAATTAAAAAAAAAAAAAAAAACTGGAACAAGGTTTTGTCACTAGATCCAAAAAAATGACACAGTAATTATATGCAGTGCTACATAATAATTCTAACTGTAATTGCAGTATAATTTTTCTGACATGCATTTACTATCCACCTCCATCATAATTATTATGCATAGATTATACTACCTTGTTTTTTTTAAGTTCACCATTATCTCCTTGTGGTGCAGATTTTCAAATATGTAGGTTTATTTTAAAATAGATAGTGCCTACATATATTTCTCATCAGAGGACCTCCACATATGAATAATAACCACAATACTAATACATCTGCAGCCCTTTACACAACCAAATGTTCTGAAAAGTCAACATGTACTACTTCTTAATTCATTTTATAAAATGAGAATGACAGGGAAGGGACACGCTTTTTCCATTTTTTTTTTTTTTTGTAATACAAAATGATCCCACTCTTTGCAAGCATTCTCTTCTCTCTCTCGTGAGAAGAGATGTAAATAAGATGTTTATGCAGTTTCAATGGGACCAACCATCCACTACACCCACATTTCAGAGGTGACAGACCACAGCATCCAGGTGGACAAGCACAGCTGCATGTCAGCTCACCTCTTTTCCTAGAAGACCCCACACCAGTTCTCAATGTCAGACTAATGATGTGATATAAGCAAATGTTATTTCCTTTGATAAACTCAAAACGAAACCATAATATATGACAATGTGTATTTACAGAAAGAAGAAAAATGGAGGAATGATATAAAACTTCATTTGTTTATATGATGGTTAATTTTATGTGTCAACTCGGTTAGACTATCGTGCCAGTTTTTGGTCAGAAACTAGTGTAGAGATCGCTGTAAATGTATTGTTTAGATGTGATTAGCATTTACAATCAATTGACTATAGCAAAAGCAGATAATAGGGAATGGGCCTCATAAAATCAGCTGAAGAGCAACAATTGAGTTTCCTAAAGAAGGGACTCTTCCAGAGATGGCAACATGGAAATCCTACCAGTTTTCAGACTTCAGACTCAAGACTGTATCAGCTCCTATCTGAATTCTGCTTCAGGCTCACAGATTTCAGGCCTGCCAGACTCCAAAATCACAACTCAACAGATCAACGCCTTCAAATCTCTCCTTCAATCTCAACCTTTCTCTCTCTCTCCTTCTCCCCCCTCCTTTCTCTCATCCTAATATAAATTTATTTGAAGCATTAAACAGATTAGCTCTTCTCTTTGAAAAACAAAATTTGAGAGCTCTGTTTATACCACTGGGAAATTCTATACTAATCCATAGTTTTAAGGTTAAGATAAAAAATCCTTTATTAAAATCGTATGAAATCAGCTGAAAATAAAAGTTGACATATTCAATTTATGTAGTTCCTATAAAAATACATTTATATATGCCATATTATATGTACTTTCTATCGAACAAATAGCATGAAGACACGAAAGAAGTAGATAGTCTTGATTCCCAGTTAAAGACATCTCTCCTTCTATGGGATATCACACACAGCTAAGGTCAGTCATTTTTGTAGGAACCAGTAACATAACTATACTCTTATATGTAATGATTACCAAAAACTTTTTTAAATGCAGGGTATATTGTAAAATATTTTCAATTTGTAAGGCTAGTTGTAGGTCATTTGAATCCCACGAAATTTTAGGTGATTAAATCCTAATGGATATCTCTGATTTCAAATTACAAAACACTTCTCAAAAATTACCTTTTAAACTAGCAAATATATTTTAAAGCCTTTATTTTTGGACCAAAGTCATATTCTATTAGAATTATAAACGGTGGGGTCTCCCTCATGGCACAATGGGTTAAAACACAGCACTGCAAAGCTGGCAGCAGGTGCTTCAACATGAGTTCAATCCCCAACCAGTGAGGTGACCCACATGGTACAGAAGACCTCTCCTGTCTCACCCCCTATACCCCTCATCAGTGTACTTCTTCAATTTGCTTGTTCTGTGTCACTCTGTCTTTGGTGAATCCTCTTAACACTCCTGTACCTCTGGACTGTAGCCCAGTTCTGTATGCATAAATAAATCTTGGGAAAAAAATTATAAATGGCATGTTGAAAATGATATACTATCATTTTATATACAATGGATTGATATCATTATTTTATACAAATAAAATGTTGAAATTATTTTTCAATTGCCCCGTAAATTTAGTACTGGGAATCTTTCAGAAAGACAAGTCCCCGTCAGAAGCATGCTAAAGACAGAGTACTTACTAACTGCAGAGTCGTAAGATGTAGAATTGTGTTCGCCTCTCAGGAAGGGATATGGAGACAGGTAAGCATGGGTGCAGTTCTTCGATGACGGTTGGTTGGCTGGAAAGAAGAATAATGTGATTATATGATACTGAAAAGCTGCATGAAGACTCATTCCTAAAAGAAGAGAAAAATAGGCTCTGGGAGTATACAAGAAATACACTTCAGGTTCAATCAAATTAAGAGAATTATTGACTAGTGAGCTACAACCTCCTAAAAATGTCATATGAAGAAGGAGAGGAGACCTAGAAAGCATATTTACTCAAAACCTCCAAAGAAAGTACATTTCAAAGAAAAAAATGCCCTAATGTCCTCTCAAAATTAAATATACCACAATTAATCTGTAATCACAATCACATTTTCCAGTTCCTAACATAATTCCTGGCACATAGCAGGTACACAAAAATTATTTTTAAAAATTAATAAGCATAAATTTAACATTGATTCATTCCAGTTAATGAATTTTGTCTCTATACTGTATTTTTAGAAGAAAGACACAAATGCTAGAACATATAAGTGAAATCAAATGCATTTATAGCATTTAAAGAAACAACACTATGCTGTTTGAAAATGTGAAGTTTTTTTGCTCTCTACCTTTTAAAGAGGAGTGGAATAATCTTCCTCTCTCTATGTCCTTGTCAAAATTTTCCTCTTATGACCTTACTTATTCTACTGCCAAAGTTTAGTAATTTCACAACAAATTGCAAGCTTATTCTCCTCCCCAAATGAATATAAAAACATTAAATATTCCTCTCAAAATACCATTTCATCATTAATTTATTATTTTTACATATGTCACCTTGCCATCAATTGGCTTAGGTCTTTAGTAAGCTCATATTTTTATTGCATATTCCATATTCTTAACTATTGCATAAATACATTACTTTGATTTATCATAGAATATTTGATAAGGTAAGAAATTATTTCAACACACAATAAGCTGTAGGTAATTGTGATTTGAACACAATAAGATAAAGGCTAGTTATTTTCAATGAATTGATTTTCAAAGATTAATACAATCTAGGAAATACTGTTAAAATAATGCCTCATATTTAAAAAAAAAAGCTATTCTACTTCAAAAAGGAACTTTAAAGTTTCCATGAGAAAATGCAAACATCAAAAGCAAGACATTTCATGAGATTGCCCACAACCTTGGTTAAAGCATGAATAGAGGAAGCTTTCATCTACCCTGTTGGTAATTAAGTCTCATTATAAAAAAGATTTTTCTTGACTTTGAAGTCATGAACATAAAATAACACATCTCTATTTTAAGATTTTAAATTTGAGATTTCAAGGGTTTATAGCAAAAAATATATTTATAACAGCAATAATAGACACTTGAAGAAAATACTATAGATAGCATTTGTCTTATTAAGTGTAGAGTACTTTAAATATATACAAAGAAATAGTAGGAGAGAGTTCAGATTTACCATAAATATGCAGACTCTTATTTTATGTTAGAAAATAAAAATTATTACTCCTCTAGCTATTTATTTCTCCCTATTAAAAAGGAATCACATAAACTTTGAAGATATCCTATTGAAATTCTACAGTTAAAAATACAATTCTATTCTGTAAGCAACATGAACTACATTAGAAGGTTTTCATTGGGGGAAATAGAGCTAAAGTTTACTTACTGTACCAGAATTTCCAGATATTGGGATCATTTTCTTCCACAATTCCATTAAACCAACACCTCCAGAAGAATCCTTCATGATGGAAAGTGATGTTCTCTATCTGCACAAAACACAAATGAAGTGATTTGTTGTCTACAAAAGGAACACAATCTAAATTATTCCACCCAGGAAAAATGTTCAAACAATGTATTTTATTCCAAGTAATGATGATCGGTAGATTTCTACATCTCTTCTATGAAGAAACAGACACTCCACTACTATTCTTTGATTTCAAGAAGATATGTAAGTCTATCCTGCTCACTTCCAAGTACAACAGTATTTTGAAGAAGAAACGCACATTCTGTTCACCTGAACACCTCCCCACTTCAGTTGCAAGAAGCCAATAATCTGATCCAAAAGCCACCAAAAAGAGTAAAACTCCCAAAGCACCAAAGAGAGCCCCAAAAAAGATGGCAATATTTAGTCTCATTTTCAATTCACTTGTCTCCCTTTAAGTAAAATAAAGAATTAAAAGGCAGACACCTAGCTTCTCAATTAAAAAAAAAAAAAAAAGGATAAAGATTTTTGAGTAGACAGAATCTTGTTGAGAAGCCTGTTCTTGCTCATGTTTTGGTTGCTTCTCACCCACACCAGCTGGAACATTTGTTTTCCCTTTGCTCTCCCCTGGCTGGACTCCAGCCCAGCAGCTGAGAATGGACAGCTATTTTAAGAAACTTATTGAGAAGCTTGCTTTCTCTCTCCCGTGGGAATCAAAAAATAGCTGACCTTCCCCTGGCTGTAGAAGGGAGTATTAGGAATCAGTTAAAGTCATCAGTATTGCTGTTTAGTAATCCATCGAAGTGAAAAGATGAAATAGTATGACATCATTGATTTATCGGTCTTAAGTGTCTGAACAAGCCCCAAATAGTTGAGAGTGTCCATTACAACCCGAAAGACACATAAGACACTCTATGGAGGTATGTAAGTCATAAAAATAAAGAGCCACAGAGACTTCTCTTGAAGACAGCTGAAGCTGTAATTAGTCTTAATTTCTTTTGGACATTTGGGGGACAGGAAATTATCTATGGGTCAAATAGTTGAACAACTCTAAGTTCACATTTATCTAAGTGTCCATAGCCTAGACATTCAGATGTGTGCTCAAAATATTGTGAATAAATGATTTAAAGCATAAAAATGTACTTTATACACTATTGATATACAAAATAGCACCTTTTTTTAAAGTAGTCTGATCCTCTCTTTTCTCTCTAAGTGCCCTCAAGTGAGCCGCCCTTCCTAACCTTTGACTGACTTCACACGTCTTCATTTCAGGGATGGACAACAGATGACCTAGTCAAGCAGAGCTGTGGTGATTGTTTAAGGGATACAGAGTGATGGGAGCCATGTTGAAGAAAGCCTCTATCAGAGTGATGGGAGCCATGTTGAAGAAAGCCTCTACCAGAGTGATGGGAGCCATGTTGAAGAAAGCCTCTACCACTGCTTTTACAAGAACATGGGGAAAGTGTTGCTTTTAAGCTAATAGGGAAGTAAACTTGGAGCTAATGATGGCCATCATCCCTTCTCTGGGGACAATCAACTGAGCAGTAAGCAGCACTCAGGGGAGAAAGACCAAGAAGTGAAAAGACACACTGTCAGCCTATGGCCTTCAAATTCAGTTTTTTATCTTGCATCTAAAAAACTTCTTAGTAATACAGAATCCCAGTGGTTCAAAAACTTCTTGGTCTCAGAAACTCTGTATGTTCACAGTATGTTCATGACCAAAGGGACTATTGTTATTATGATGGTATCTAAATATTTATTTACTTGTTTTGCATAGAAGAACTGGAGTCTAGGCCTTAGGTGCGGGAGGTGAGAGGATTCACCAAAGACGGAGTGGGAAACAGGACAGGCAGATTGCTGAAATGCACTGTGCTGAGGGGAGCAGCAGGCGGAGACAGGAGAGGTCTGAAGCAGGTTGTGAAGGTCAGATATCCCTGACTGGGGATCAAATTTAAGGTGTAAAACACTTTAAAAACAAAGGTCATTACTAAACAATCTGACGTTAAGAGGGATAGGGAAGAGAAAGAGACAAACGGATACAAACGATAATGGTGAGGAAAACATAAATAAATGAAAATAAAATGTTTCTCTTTCCCAAAAATACTTGAGAAGCAGGTTCCCTCCCCCCCATATACTTTAAAACAACATATACTCTACATGGATGCAAAAACAGATGAGAACACAGCTACCTTTTATTATATGAGAAATTGTAAGAGAATTGGGAAAAAAGGCAAAATAAATCCACACTTCTCAGAATATATATTGTTGGGGAAAAATATTCCTTTTAACAAAATATATTAACATAATGGATTTGTTGTTCATGTTATTAAGTGACTTTAAATAATTTGTCAAATTTGAAGTGTTTTACATTATCAAATTATCTACTATGTGTGTGTATGTATATACACATGTATATTTTTTAAAACATTTTCCTTTTTTTTAATATTTTATGTATGTATACAGATCTGGGGTACAGACCAGAGGTGCAGGGGCGGTGAGATGATTAACCAGAGACAGAGAGGGGAGCAGAACAGGCAGATAGAGGAAGTACACTGTGGAGGGGAGCAGCAGGCAGGCTAGGATAGGTCTGCCGCGCCATGTGGGTCACCTCTGGGTAGGGGATGGAACTCTCACTGAAGCTGCAGCAGCCAGCTTGCAGTGCTGCATCCTAACCTGTTGCGCCACCGGGGAAGGCCTCTACTATGTATATATTAGCATTTGTTTAAATCACTCAGACCTTGCTGCACACAATTCTCTGAAAGTTTGTTCCAAATGTCTGCATTTCATTTTTATGGTTATCTAATAATCATGTGCCTCTGCCACCTTTTCTTGATACAGTCGTCTGTCAGTAGAACTGAAGTTTGCTTCCGTGTCCTCGTTGGTATAAATGCAGCTGTGAACTTTGTGGAGAGTATTGGGGTTTTGCTGATTGTTTCATTTCTGTAGCTCTATCAAGAGTGGAATTGCTAGTTGGGTGATATACTTTTATTTTCACTTTTTTAAGGTAAATTCAGATTGCTTTTTGTAATGATTGCAACAGTTCATGTTCTCATCATTTTTCTCAGTATCCTCAACTTGTTGTTGGGGATATTTTTAATGTGTGCCCTAATCACAGGTGTGAGATGGGAATCTCGTAGATTTGATATGCACCTGTCTTATCAAAAGTGATAATAAATATTTTTTTCACAGATCTTTTGGCTTCAGGATATTCTCACTGGAGAACTGGCCATATCTGCAGCCCATTTATTAATTGGGTTATTTATTTTATGTTGTTGAAGTGTATGAGTTTTTAAAATACATCCTGTATATTAATCTTTTATTAGTTATATACTGTGTAAATATTTTATTCTCTTTCATGTTATTCAGTTTATTAATATTTTCTGTTTTTTTAATTCTTGTTGGCCTAGCTAGAGGTTTATCAGCTTTGTATGTTCTCAAAGAACAAGTTGATTTCTATTTCTTTCATTTATGCCCTAATTTTTATGATTTCTTTCCTTCTACTAACGTTGGTTCTTGTTTGTTCCTCTATTTCAAGTTACTTTAGTGTGATCATTGTTTATTTGAATTTTTCTTGCTTTTTAATATGGGCATGTATTGCAATTATTTTTCTGCTGTGTCCTGTACATTCTGGTACCTTGTATCATCATTTTTATTCCTCTCAAAGTAGATTTTAATTTCTGCTTTGATTCTCTCTTTTATCCAATTACTATTAAGCAACATGCTTTTAGTCCTCATATATTTATCAGTGTTCCTGTTTTTTGTTTTTTCTCTTATAGTTGATTCTTGGTTTTATGACACTACAGTGTCAAGTGAGTTCAGCATTTGGGTTCCTTCTATCCCGTCCTTAGCCAGATATCTTTCTTGATAAAACAAAATAAAATGAAACTCCCTATTCTGGTTAGCATTACAAATCTGGCTCAGGATTACTTCAAAAGGCTGACTTCTTACCAAATGCCCCTAATCCTCACTATACCCATAGAGAGCATTCTCCTTCCTGGATCACTGGATCACTGTAAGGTCCCCAAATTTTTACCTATTCTATTTATATCTGATTAGATGACTCATCTGCTGAACTCTTCATTAATTCATTAATTAGCCCAAGTCTCTATTACATACTATATGTGCTCCTAGTGTGGCAAAGCTCTTTCAAATGGGACTCTATTATTCATTTTTTCCTTACAACATTGTTCATTTTATACAATATTTGATTTCTCCTCTCCTCAGATTTCCCTTTGGGGTGGGGGTGGGACATGGGGTATCCCCAGGTCATCACTCAACTTGGGAGTTGAGCCAAGTCTCAAAGGGCAGCGCTGCCCAGACTTCTCTACAAGGAAGGGAGAGGGTGACAGACCCCCTCTGAAACAGCAAAAGTAGAGTCCAGGAACTCAAAGTTCTTTTGAGAACAGGTAAAGAGTAAATGGAAGAGGACAGAGACATGTTGTGGAACCAGGTATTCGAAGGTACCATATATCCAGCTAAAACTGCTGGCTTTATTTTAATTTGCTTTTTCATTCTAAAAGTCCCTTGAACCCTTTGCTCACCCCTGCCTATCCACCCCCCACACACATTCTGATTATTTCTACTGTTATAATTTTATTTGGAGAGACTTTTGATTTTCTGGAAACAACTTCCATTTTAGAGGAATTGTGGCACTTAGAGAAATTGTAGCAAAGTGTTTTTAATTTTTTAATAAAAAATTGTTTGAAAGTCAAGCTTTTAAAATCTAGAGACAAGAAAATCATTGGCTTTCCAAAACAGTGTATTTAATTTTCTCCTTGATTTTTACAAATTAAATAAAAACCAAAGGCTGAATGTCTGTGAGCAATGGAAAGTTTTGTCTGCTTTGTGTTCCAATGTCTTTATTTAGTTAACTGTGCTTTATTAATAATAAATTCACTGAAACTTAGCAGTAACTTCAAGTCATATTTAATTTGCAAGTGCTAATGAGCAAAACATTCTTTTATTCCAAGGCCATAATTTCCAATACTGATGTTGTAATACATTCTTAATCATCTCAAAATATAATGAAATTATGTAGGTATTCTCAAAACAAAATTAATTATGGTTCACTTTTTTTTTAATTAAGAATGGCAATGCTTAGCACTCAACAACGCTGAACAAATTTGTAAATAAATATAGAAATCAAACTCTGGCTTCTATAAATTGGTAATTTATGTTCCATAACACTGGAATGCTTTTTCGGGGACTTTGGGGGTAAATTCTCTTTTGTCATGGACTGATAGGTCCAGAATTCTTATCTGTCATTCCAACAACCAAACACGGAAAGCCAAAAACGTTTAGCAAATGAGACCTAACTGGCACGATGTTGTATATAAACTATAGTGTTAATTCTCATGTATTTTGTTATATAAGTATGGAAATATTTGATCTTTTATAGTTCCAGTGAGAGTGTTAGGTAATGTACAGAATATGCATATTACTCTTCCAAAATCCCCAAAATTCTGGGTTCCAAAAATATTTTATCCTGAAGGAAACAAATAAGCGGCCATATTCCGTTCTATACACCAAACCATATACTGAGTGATGACCCTACAATCCACTGCTGTCCTGTGATCTTTGATACAGATGTTTGCCACTGCACCATCACCATTTCTCTGTGCCTCTAATGATCTTTTTTATCTTTTCTGTATAGTTCTTCGTTTTTATGTACCTTTCTCTCCCCTGCATCCCCCACCCACCAATGTGACACCCGGACCACATCCTATAATCTTAAGATTATTTCACAGGCTTTCTGATCTCATATGTAGTACTGGAACAACAAATTTAATTTATGGGGGTTATAATGGTTCTGTTCTTGCTTACTGTGTCATCCCTAACACCTAACATAATGCAGATAACATGCTCAGTAAGAATTCAGCTGATCAAATAGCAATCCTATTGACTGAAAATGAATTGGGTTGAACACTGCCATCTGGTGGCCACAGGTAAAATATACATTCCATTGTACACTGGTAAGATGTTAGGATTTATATAACACAGACTGGGCTGCAAGGTCTTACTATTTTCTTAGTATTTCATGCTGAACAGCCTTAACTAAAATGATTCCATCAAATTACCAAGGCGCTGATGAAATAGCCCATATTGAACAGCACAGGAACAAGGCCCATAAGCTCACTCACCTCATTAATTCAGGCCATTTGCGCTTCATTAAATTGAGACTCCTTATACAAGTAACTCACACAAAGGAAGCTATATTACAAAAATATTCTTTGCCTTAAAGAAGCACTATTCTTAGCTCTGTGCTCAACTCCATAAAGAATTCTATTAGTACATTAAGGAGCACTAACTCTTTCAAGGGACTAAAAACTTAGAGTTTATTTGTTAAAAACTTTCCTTCAAATGGGGGGGGGGGGAGGGAAATGCATGGGACTATGGTGGTGGCACTGGGGTGATTTGGTGATGGGAAACCCGCGGGGATTACAATCGAGATGAAAAAAAAAATGTGCAAAATGATGTAAAAATAAACTTTGTAATAAAAAAAATGCACACAAAAAAAAACTTTCCTTCAATTTAAATCAATGCCAAAAAAAGAAAAATCATTTCAGAAAGAAAACTGGGGCCCAAAGGAGAATATTTTTCTCTATAGAACTAGAAATCAAAATGCTGCACACTTCATAGGCATCTATTACACTATGATATCCATTTAAAATATTGTAGTATTGATATCATTTACTCATCCTGCTTCCTGAAATTCTTTCTGAGGGTATAGATTATACTCCATATGCTGCAACTGTGTGAATGAAAAAGGTTATACTCCAATATGCTGCTATTGGTTGTGAAAGTGCTTTACATGAAAGTTGTGTGTAGTGACCTGAGTCTTGATTTAGAGAAATATTTATTTATCCTTGGCACTGGGATATGTTGCCTTCTCCTTACATACTTTGTCACTGAGTCTTTTTTTGTCCATAAAGATGAAGGTAGGCTGTTACTTCCCACTCCAGATAATTTTCCCAATGTGGAGGTGGGAGAGAGAGAGGCGGGGGAGGGGAGCTGGGAGCTGCAAAGACACATCTGTGTGAACTTAAGGTACCAAGTCTCCAAGAGGAGACAATTGTTGGTGCTGCACAGTCAGAAGTGCCCTGAAGAAATGCTACTGTCTTCAGGATTATTGAAGATGCCACCAGTTCTGCAGGGATGGCTCAAAGCTTTTTCTTCATGTATTGCTCAGCCAAGTCCTTTAGGTTCTGTTTAATTTAATTGCTATGTGGTGTGATAGCAATGCTTAGAAATGAGGCTCTATCTAGATACACAAATAACAACTGAAAAAAAAAATTGACAATATCTACAAAATAATGACAGCCAGCACTCATTCTGCCAAACACTATGCTAAACATTTCAGGCCCATTATTCATTTAACCGTCACAATTACCCACAGCAATAAGTGCTATGTTTTCCCCCACGCATCTTCAATGAGGAGATTGAGGCAACTCTGAATCTTTCTATGGCAGTATTTCAGACTAGCTGTTCCACCTAATTCATATAATATAAGAATGCCCTGGGTGTGCTTGGAAATAGGGGCTCCAAGAAGCTACAGGGGTAATTGAGGTTAAATGAAAATATAAGAGTAGGAGTCTAAAGTGTCACCCTGAGACATAGAACTAAGACCAGGAGTTAGATTCTCTACGCAGATTCCATTTCAATATCAGCTGTCAAAGAATTATAATGTAAGTAATGTGACTTTTATTTTCACACGGGAGGTGCAGCATTGGAATGACCATTCTGACCATCTTTTCTATAAACAACTAGATCAATTTCAAATTAATGGTTTCTCTTAAACGCATGGGAGAACTGTGATCTTGCTTAAATGACGCAACAATCTGCGGATAAACAAGCTCCTATAAGGAGAAAAAGGGCCTAAGCATTTGCTACTTTATAGTTGATAATGCTGAGTATTATACTAGTATTATGCTAGTAGCTAAGAATTTCTAGTGACTTGTCTCCATGACCACGTTTTCTTTTATCACTTGTCAGTACACTGTTTTATTTACAGCGGTTTTATTCTTTAAATATTGTGTGGTTACGGTTTGCTATTTATCATATTTATTTATTGTACTTCAGGAAACTCGAACCTCTACTCGGGCTGAGACCATGTCTTGTTCACACTGCACAGCCCCAGAGAAGTGTCAAGTAAAGCAGCTGCAGATTCCTCATAACTCTGTAGAGCTGGTCTATATTATCTCCTTCTGTTTCTCAAGTAGGCAAATCGAAGCTTGATGGGGCCCATCTAAATTATTCTGGGTCCAAACAACTCATGCCCCAAATCTGGGTATCTTCCTGCAAGAACTGGTTCCTGCGCAGGTCATCCCCTCCTCACTCCTCACACAATTCCTTCCCGCCTTCCAATGGCAGGGACAGTGCGATCTTTAACCCAAGGAAACGCCAGGCATCACCATTACCATCAGCTTCCAGGCGACAAACTGTCCAACCCTGCCGGGAGTTGCTTACAACCCGCGAGCCGCGTCTGCAGGGTCCCGCCGCCTGGGGGCGGCCTCGCGGCGCTCCCTTCTGCGCAGGCGCACCGTGCCCGCTTCCGCTCGGGGCGGGGCCGGCGGCTGCTGCGGGCGTAGATGCACGGCTGCAGGCGTCCGCATGGCGCTCTGGGCGGGTCATGGCAGGGGCCTGCGGTCGCCCCCGGGGCAAGCAGACCCGGAGCCCCAGAAATCTCAGGGGGAGCCGAGGACGGGAAGCGAGGCGGGGGCTCCTCGTCCGGTCCAAATCCGCCGCTTCTTGTCCTGCCTTTACCTGGTGGGCTTCTTGGTGAGTGCTGGGCTGGGGGCGAAGTACTTAGTCCCAGACCTGGAACTCAGTTACGGGTGCTTTCTGTGCTTGAAGTACCCAGGGCAGATGTAACGCTCACCCAGGCGGCGTGAGAGCAAGCAGTGTGCCGGTGGTGGCACCCCACCTCTCAGACCTGCCCCGGCCCATAATCCGCTTCACTATACACCTGGCCAGGTTACCTTTTGACCTTCGAGCTTTCACCGGGCACACTTCATGGCGCCCCGCCCCTTCCTGCAGTGTAACACACCGCAGCAGTTGCCTTAGGTGTGATTAGTGGGCCGAGTTGTGCTCCAGGGTGACCCCAAGGTGTTAGATGCTGTCGCAGACACCTGCTGGCCAGAGTCTGTGCTCCTGGGCAAGATTGGGAAAGTCCAGCTACTGCAGTGGATGCAGTAAGAACACATAGGCCTCTACGTGGCAAGATCGGGGAAATCACTCTTGCTAACCCCACTAGGAAAGAATTAAGCACATTTTCATTAAGGTTACCAGTAGCCTGGAACGTTTCAAAGTCGAGTCACAGTGAATCATACACTTCTGCCTTTTGACAAATTATATATTGCACAAAGCAGATTTGATTTTCGCTGGAATGTGTGCGTGTGCTGGTTTAATAAGGACGATTATTTCGTTCCATGTAGAATGGAAAGCTTAGAGAACTGAGTGTATGGTAGGGCAAGTCATTCATCCATCCATGAATTCACTTATTTGTGGAATTCCTGAAAGTCTCCTATGTAGTAGGTACTGTGGAGCTCCCTGTAATACACAGTTCTTGCCAGAGAATTTATAATCTTTTTGGAAAGGTTGTATTGGTAGTTCATGGGTCATTAACTGCAGGAGCTCTAGATCTGCTTCTTCACCCTCTTTAGATGTGTTTCAGTTGCCCTAGTGAACCAATTTAGGTTAGCACATTGGGTCAGGACCTAGTAGGATTTCCTCTTTGAGATCAAATGAAACTGGTGAGGTTATCTACCCCATGTCCCTAGAATACTACCCCATGTCACTAAGGGACTGGGTCCTGGTAAAGAAGAAATTATGTTTTCTGCCTGGATGCAGGTTAAAACCATAAATTCTCCCAAATCCTAGAGTTAGACAGTGAGACATTAACAAGGAGGGCAGCAGGGAAGCAACTGTCCTTTTCCCCTCCTTAAGCAAGGTGTTCAACAGTGTGTAAAGTTTTTTTTGTTTGTTTGTTTCATACAGAACTGGGGTACAGGCTAGAGATGCGGAGGGTGAGAGGATTCACCAGAGACAGAGTGGGGAGCAGAACAGGCAGATCCACGAAGTACACTGCTGAGGGGAGCAGCGGGCGGGTCAGGAGAGGTCTGCCCCGCTATGTGGTCACCTCCAGGGCAGGCGGGGATGGAACTCATGCGAAAGTGGCTTGTTCTTTACAGTGCTGTGCTTTAACCCGGCTGCGCCACCAGGGAGGGCCAGTGTGTAAAGTTTTAATGAGCTAACAGCTGTTAAGGCAGTGGTGAATCCTGTTCACCAGAGCACAGTAAACACACAACTGTGTGTGGACACCCAGAGGGGGCAGTGTTACAGAGAGGGCCTCTTCCTCTCTCATTGCCGACATCACCCCTCTGCTCAGAGTCTTAATTCACTCTGGCACTCTTACTTCCCTTTGCTTTTTTAGTTCACTCTCAGGATGTAGATCCCTTTCCAGCCAGTCACCCCCCTTCTGGTTGGAGAGAGACCCGAATCTGTTGCGGCCATAGCTCAGATAGTACTACTTCCTGGTTGTGCCAGATTAAAAGCATTTTCATACTTACCTGGAAAATCCAGAGTAGGGTTCATAGAGTTTGGAAACCAACATGACCTAGAATTCAAAACAGGTTGAGCCTAAAATAAAACAAAGAAATTCACAGATCATTCATTATAGTCAGCCTTTCAATACAGATTTGAATATTCAGAGCTTTTTGTATGTTTTCTATGTGCTGCACACGTAGTCTTACCTAGTGTGCCTGATGTAAAATTTTAATTATTTAGGAGATTAGGTCTCTGTTATCTTCAGGAGGAAATAAAAGATTTTTCATAAGTTAAAAAGAGGAGGAATTTTTTTAATGGAAAATGTAAACAAGCTTTAGTTATCCTTGAAGGATCTGTTAACAGATAAAAATCTAGGAAATATTATAATTTAGTTATAATTTTTAATGTATTTAAAGCTGTTAAGACCCTAAGACTTTTTTGAAAGTGGTTTCTAGTTGGAAGAAGAAGGGAACAAGATTAGAGAATTAATTTGCCAAAATGTTCTGTTTTAACTCTTACTTGTGCTTCCAGGTTTTAATTTGTTTAGAAATGAAGACTAAAATGACTGAGATGACCCTTAGGCCCTTTTTGGCTCACATGCTAAGGCATGCTAGGATCGAGGGTTTTAGTACTTTCTTCTGGTGAGATTTGAATTCCATTTCTTCAGCTTCAGTCAATTGATATATTTTTTTAATAATTCACTTACCATGAGATATTTGCATTCCTTCCCTGAAAAGGGTCCTAAACTTTGAAGAGTATGCATCAGTTTTCTTTGGGAAATGTAGCTGTTCCTTGGAAGGCTGACATGACTCCCTCTGCTTGATTGCAAGTTGCCATATTCTAAATGCATTCAGAGAGGGTGACTTTGAAAGAACCGTGACTCCAGAAGAAAGCAGTTGCCTTTTCCAGTAAAGGAGACCATTTTAGAGCAGCACTCCCTCAGGTCTCAGCCTTCCAACTCAAATATTTGGCCTCTGCCTTTGTTTAGAATAACCATTTGAATAAAAAGTGACAAGTGGCACTGGGAATTTTTTTTTTTTTTTTAAAGAACAGGTTGATTAGAAAAGGGACAGGAAAGTAAAGGACACTTCTTGCATAGGCACAAGTGAGCAGGGAAGAGCTTTTGGCACTGGGAAATTTTTGAAAAACAAAATTTATTGGAAAATTTCTTTTCCTGAAAGATCCTGAAAATTTAGTAGGTAGCTAATATATTCTGAGTCTTTTAAATGTTATCAAATATCAGTTAGGCTGAGTGAAAGCAGGTAGTTAAACCCAAAAGAAATGGGTTCAGACCCACATGATATTTAATGTTAAAACTGAAGTTATGTTTCTTGATATAACTTTGAGCTATTTAAGATTATGTGATATTAAAAACAGGGCCATTACTCAGACATTGTTCTTCCTTCAGTACACCAGTTTTCTTTCTCCTTAATTTGCTGACACTTTTATTCGAAGTATTATCTCCTAGGCTGTAAATCACAGAGGATTTACTTTTAGGGGAGGAAATTCATATTATTAAACCAGTGCCTCTTTGCCAAGAAGTGTGCATTACCCACCCCTTCTTCCTTCATTCTCCATGTAGATGTTTTTGTTTTATATTGTTGTTGTTTTGTTTTGTGTAAAGAACTTCTACAGCACATCCTTTGAATATTAAGAATCAACTGCAAAAAAAAAAAAAAAAAAAAAAAAAACTAAACTCTGGTCAGGGCGGGACCCCGGACTCACAGGCGCCCCCAACGGTTTTATCTGCTGGGACCTCTTGGCCACATCCTCACATCCAGGCTTTGGCGCCTGGATGACCTTGATTTTATGGCTGTGTCAGTTGCTACACTACCCCTTGTGTGAGTGTGTGACTCAATCTTGTGGTGCCGCTCCCGCGTTCCTTCCTCCATCAGGGGCAGTCAGGCACTCGCACGCAGCAGCTGTGCACGATGCGTTTGGGCTCCTTGGTGATGGTCACCTGATGTGTCCAGCATACCAGACAATACAATTATGAGTTCCGGTTTGCCCAAAATGCCCGATGTCGGTGTTATTTTTTTAAAAACTCTATGTTAAAAGCACCTAGGCTTCATTTTCTACACTCAGTTAATCAGTGTTTTGCCTTTTAGGATTTGTTTGGTGTAAGCATGGTTGTCCCTTTATTGAGCCTTCATGTCAAGTCTCTTGGAGCAAGTCCAACAGTTGCTGGAATAGTAGGTGAGTGGTTAACCCTGTGCGTTTTTAATGCACTGAATTTTAAATACCCTGAATTAAACAATTATAGCTAAAATTACCCGAAAGTAAATTGAAAGTGGGGTAAAATGAATTTTCAGAATATTTAAAAATAAGACCCCAAAGCAAATATAGTTTTTTTAGAGCATTAGTCCAGCACCCCACTCTACAGTGCTGTCTCAGGCACTGCGTGAGGCTCTCCAAGGAGCTGTGTGTGTGAAAGAGTAGATGTAGCTAGCTTCCTCCTGACAGAACTCTGCAACCTAGTGCAAGAGACCTGAGAAACACAACCTACAGAACTCATACCTTACAGGAAATGGATGTGTGGTGAAGCCAGACAAACCAGTTGCCAGTTTGTCACACCCTCCCAATTCATCTTAGTGGCACTGTAGGATGACTGTATCTGTGCAGCAGAAAATCTCCATTGGAAGGTCATTGACTTACTCAAGAGGTAGGAATAACAGGGCTTAAGACAATAAAAAGTTGTTAAGACTCAGCCCTTTATCATTCATAAAAACAAATATTCCGGGACCATTTTGTACATAATATCTGGTAAGTCCAGGCCATGCTGTGATTTGTGTTTCCTTTGAAAAGTGTATTTGGAATTATCCCAGACCCCCAGGGGCATGAAGGTTCTTATGAAGAGCAGAGGGGACATATGTGATGTTACAAAGGTGTAAGCTCTCCATAAAACTTTACAAGTTCTTTATAAAACTAAGTAATTTTCTAAAACGGAAATGTTGAAATATGAGATAATATCAACATTTTAAGACTTCATAGACTTTCCACAAGATTCAGATGTCTACTCCCCTGAGTTCTCAGTGTGGTCTCCTCAGTTGAAGCGACACTCTCTCCACATATTGGTGGAAGGCCTTGTTCTCACGCTCCCTAATTTTTTTTTTTTTTTTGCCTTTTCTGCTTTCAATTTTGTAGCCTTTTATTAAAAGTTGTATTATAGTCTCCTAACTGAAAAAAAAAAAAGTGGGATAATCGTCATAAAAATAATTTTTTTTTCTCTAGTGTTTTTCTATTTCATGTAGTGGTTAACACCTTAATCCATTCATATGATGGGTCTTGCTTATTTTATGGATGTTACTGATTTTTTTTTTTTTTTTTTTTTGCAGGCTCCTCCTATGGCATTTTGCAACTCTTTTCTAGCACGATGGTGGTAAGTTCTCCTTTATCTGGCAGCATGCCTTGAAAGCATAGTTACACAGCTCTGGGGCCATCTATGGCTACAGTAAAATTACGGGCTTGATGGTTACAAGAAATACAGATGATTAGGAAATGCAGTGTAGGTAGGTCAAGAAGGAGCCTTCAATCGTGACTCTTTATTTTGACACCGTTCTCAAATTGTACTGTACAGTACAGCCACTAGCTGTAAATTGTAAAATATAAAATTTGGTCAGATTCCATAATGAATTATTAAGCTGGTAATGATATTAATTATTTAAACTAATTCTTGATTCATCTTAAAATCTTTTACATATCAAATTGGGTTAATAATAATAGTTTCATTCTCATTTTAGCCTTTACAATGATTCAGCAAAATAGTTTAAAATCTCCCTTTTATGGGCCCTCCCTGGTGGCACAGCGGGTTAAAGCACAGCACTGAGAGTCTAAAGCCACTTCCACATGAGCTCGATCCCCGCCTGTTCTGGAAGTGACATGGCATGGTAGACCTCTCCTGGCCCGTCCGCTGCTCCCCTCAGCAGTGTACTTCGTCAATCTGCCTGTTCTGCTCCCCCTCTGTCTCTGGTGAAGCCTCTCGCTGCCCGTGAGCCTCTGGTCTGTACCCCAGTTCTGTATGCACAAATAAATACATCTTTAAAAAAAAAATCTCCCTTTTATGTAAAAGGAGAAAATTAAAACATAGAGCTTAAATATTTTGAGAAAGTCACACTTAAGCTCAGTATCTACTCTGAGCCCATATTACTTCTGATATAGAGATTGTCTGGCATTGCTTTAGTGACCTAAAAGCAGTAAATAAATACTGAATATCAGGGTGTATAGGAGGCTGATGTACTCACTCTGTGAGGCTGTTACTTGTGAGAAGAAAAATTGGGGCTCTGCTTTAGTAAACATCTTTTTTCTGTTTCATTACCAAATGCTTAATATGTGTGTATGGATGCTAGATCAGTTAAAATCACAGTGTATTTTAATGACATGCCTTTCCCCGACTGGACTCTGAACTCCCTGAGGATAAACACACATTTTTTGTGTGATTGTCACAGCACTTACCATAGCACCTGGCACCCAGTAGAACTTAATGGATGTGAATTTTCATTGCCAGTGGTGTCCCAAATGCGCTTTTCCAGTCTGATCCTTTGCTTTGTTACATTTGTGTTTACAATGCACATTTATACATTTCATGTATCTAGCTGCTGTAATTCAGTGAGAACCTTCTTTAGGCCTCCTTCAGGTAGAGGAGTACCTAGTTAAAACGTCTTTTGTTAGCCAGTACTTTTATAAATATGTGTATAAATAATAGTGCATTTTTGTAAAAACATTTTCACTTTAAAAATAAATACTTATGAAGATGTGCTAATCAGATCTGGCTATTTTTTTTTTTTTTGATATGTGTATTTTAATAAAATCACCAGTATTTCTTAAGTAATTATTATGGTCAGACCCTGTGTTAAGCATTTGACTTAATCCTCATAATAACTGTCAACTACCAGTCTGGTGATTGTGTATCTTTAGTGATTCATTCTATACAAAGTACACAGCGAGTGTGTAAAGGAAGGAAAGCACTCTGAGGCAGGTGCATCATATTCCCATTTTTATAGCTAGAGAAACTGAGACAGAGAGAGCTTAACTGATATCTCTGTAGCCATGGTGTATGGACACTTTACAGTTAAAAGCTGAAAGCAGACAGCTCAAGCAGGGCTCAGGCTCTAACTGTAGATTATCTCACTGCCCTAGGTACACAGGCAGCCAGGACCTTTTTACCAGGTCCAAAGAATGTGGTGAATTTCTAAAATCCATTCAAACGAAATTGGGGGAAAGGACTGATCACTGATGACAATTTTAAAAGTATGACAGTATTTTAGAGTATTTATCCACAAGTATTTTTAAAAGGAATTTTATGAGTTTATATCCTGATGTAAAGACATCTTTGAGTAGTTTAGATAATGATGATTTAAAAAAGAAAAAGAAAGAGAAAGAACTTATCAATTAAAAAATGGGGTTAGGGCATGAACAAGTATAGTTAGTTTGGGTAAGGGAGAGAGACAGGCTCAGGTTACATGGCATTTAGAAGGGTAGAGAAATGTCACTGAACATCACTGAGGAATATGGGAGAAGCAGGATGCAGTATTGAGCACTTTTGACCAGGCCCAGGATCCAGGGAATCACATCTCACCAGAGACCCCATTCCTGATCCTTTGCATAGAATGCTCTATTGCTCTTGTAGAATTTAGCAACCTTTATCTTAATCAGCTTTTTTGTTTGTTTGTTTGTTTTCCAAAGCATCACCTATAACATCAGTATAATGGGTCATGTGGAGCTATTGTAGTTTAATTGAACTTATCAGGTAGACTCATGTCCATCTGCACAAAGCAGTCCTCTCGAGGGCCCTCCCTGGTAGCGCAGCTGGTTAGAGTGCAGCACTGCGAAGTAAGTCACAACAACTCCTGTATGAGTTTGATCCCTGCCCTGGAGCTTATCCACCTGGCGTGGCAGATCTCTCCTGACACGCCCACTGCTCCCCTCAGCAATGTACTTTGTTGACCTGCCTGTTCTGCTCCCCACTCTGTCTCTGGTAAATCCTCTCACCGCCCCTGCTCTTCTGGCCTGTACCCCAGTTAGGTATGCAGAAATAAATTAATCTTTAAAAAAACAAAACAAGACAGCACTTTCCAGAGCATCAGTGGGGAAAATGAAGTAGCCTGCCCATGTGCCTCAGGGGTTACTAGAGGCCCAGCTTAGTGCCCTCACCTTGCTCTGCCATCGTGGGAATGGTAAGCACAAAGAAGGGAAAGATAAGGAGGAAAAATAGCCATTTGCCACTAGCATTCCCTATCTCCAAGGAACTACCTCAGAGGCCTTTCCACTGACTTCTGGTTGCTTCATGTAGGCAAGAACTTTTTTTTTTAAGATATATTTATTTGTGTGTACAAAACTGGGGTACAGGCCAGAGGCTCAGGGGCAGCGAGAGGCTTCACCAGAGACACAGTGGGGAGCAGAACAGGCAGATCCACGAAGTACACTGCTGAGGGGAGCAGCAGGCGGGTCAGGAGAGGTCTGCCACACCATGTGGTCACCTCTGGGGCAGGCGGGAATCGAATTCATGCGGAAGTTGCTTTAGCTTCTTAGTGCTGTGCTTTAACCCGCTGCGCCACCAGGGAGGGCCAGGAAAGAACTTTTAGGCTGCAAGAAAGACTTGGTTTTAATTAAGCATGTTGATTTGGAGTATGGAAAATGTTACGACTGCTTAACGATGCTGTAGGGTATAATTGAGAGTATATCTTAAAAATTCTCAGAGGGAAAATTTTTTTCTTAGAGTATGTATGAGAAAATGGATTTCATTTTGCAATACAGGTAAGTTAAAGCATTATACTGTACACTTTAAACTTAGTGTTCTGTGGCAGTTATATGTTGATAAAACTGAAAGAAAGAATGACAGTAGGAAAAGGTACATCTCAGTAGGAAAGTAGTCTAGTTATTTCAAAGAAATTCAAATGAGAACAATCAAATCATTTTCATCTATCAGGTTGATGAAAATTAATGATAAAGTCTACATTCGTTCATGACATTAGGGAATAAATAGGTACTACTAAGAACAAAAAAATGATAAAAGTTTTAATGACATGGAATGATGCTCTGGTTATACTGTTAAATGAAAAAACAAGTGGCAAGATAGTGTACTCTGTCAACATCTGTTACACAAATGTAATATAACATGTTTATATTTGTTATTCAAAGCAGTTAATATGGCTGCTGAGTTGAGTCGTAGAAATAATTAAAATGAAGGTCATAGGTACGATCTTAAACTTTCTGTGGATAAAGACAGCTAAGTGTATGTTATCACTCCACTTGGGGAACGATCAAAGCAAATAATTTATTTTGATAAATGTTATAGCAGAATTGAGCATCTAAAGATCATAAACTGGATTCCCTAAAGTCTTTCCCTGGGCCCCAATTCGAGGTCCTGTGGTGCTGGCAACTGCTGGGAACCAGAGGGCCCCTGTATGTCTTGCTTTCTCAGGGCTGCTGGAGTGATGTGGTGGGAAGACAGCCCTCCTTGCTGGCGTGCATTCTCCTCAGCGCCCTGGGCTACCTTATTCTTGGAGCATCCACCAATGTGTTCCTGTTCACCCTGGCTCGAGTCCCTGTGGGTGAGTAACCTGTGTGCATGTGTTTTCATTCAAAACAAGGCAGCTGTGTGTCCACGAGCGCGTGAAGCCGCCCTGATCGCCCTGTGGTAGAGCACACTAGTCCTCCCATCGACCTGTCAGCATTCAGTCAGAAAGAATTTGTTCAGTTCCCTTGGCAGCTCTCAGGTTACTCTTCCCTCCTGGTCAAAGCCCTTAGTTTTGTGATGGGGCTTCTTGGCTTCCGTTGAGAACTGCCCTGTCACTTTCCTGGTAGCACTAGGTGGGGGGAGGCTTGGAATAAAAATGTAGTGACTCGGATTAGTTTTCCTTTCTAATGGACTAGAGTGTTTCTAACAGTTTAAGTCACAGACATTTGTCCATTCATTGAAATATTTTGTTCTATTTGAAATGTCACCTGTGAATGCTGGGTGATGCGCAGTGTGTAAGTAGCTGCTGCGGAAGCTCTTTATTGTCTTTCTTAGCAATGGGAGCCCTGGAGAGTGAGCGATTCTTTCTCCCAGTGCCCCCTGGAGCACTGTCAGATCCTGCCACACTTGTGGGCAAGTGTGCAGCCTGGCCTCTGCACATGCCTACGGTGAAACTGCTTGGCTTTTTTTTGTTTGTTTTTTAAGATTTTTATTTACTTATACATACAGAACTGGGGTACAGGCCAGCGGTGCAGGGGCGGTGAGAGTTTTCGGCAGAAACAAAGTGGGGAGCAGAATCGGCAGATTGCTGGAAGTACACTGTTGAGAGGAACAGTGGGCAGGTTAGGAGAGGTCTGCTGCGCCATGTGGGTCTAACTCGGGCCAGGGATCTAACTCGCACTGAACCGGCTGCAGTTGGCTTGCAGTGCTACATCTTAACTCGTTGTGCCACCAGGGAGGGCACAAAGCTGCTTGTTTTTACCTAATACCAAAGAAATAGAGCACAGACTAAGGTACTGTAACACTTCGTTAACCAGCTTACTTAGGATTTCTGCACCATTTCTGTGATATGTATATTTACTTGGAAAGTCTTTGGATGCACACTCCAAAGTTCATGCCATATTTTTGACTTCAGAAAATGCTTTATGAAAGTCTTTGCTTTAAATGTGACCAGCACCCTCACAAGCCCAACTAGCACTTATAAAAATCCACTGACAACTGTTGCATGTATGTTCTTGGTTTGGATAGCAGTGTCTCTTGCTATAATATAAAACACTCCTCCATGCGGTGAGAAGACTACTCAGAACGCTGAAGAAACAGATGAGGAGATGAGTAGAATTTATATTCTTTTACAAAATGGGTAGAGATTTATGGGGTGGATTAAAATATTTTTATTTACTATGAAGTGAGTTTGAATAGTGTTAGTTCTGCTATGTGTGCACCATCCTCTGCCATCAAGGAAAGTTGTACATAGAAGTGCTCTCTTGCCCATAGAACCTCTGCAGTGTTTGATGGTCCATGAGCATAAGGAAGCCCTGGGGGATTTGCTGGGATTATGCTACCCAAGAGCAGTTGTAAGTTTAGTTCCTTGTATCGAAAAAGTGAGCCTGAGGTTGAAATACCAGAGTTGGACACGTGGTATGCTCCTCTTCCCTTGGTCCACTGACCCACCTCTGACAGGCAAGAGAAGGCTTGTCTGGGTTGCTCACAGACATTCTCACTATAGTCCTCTTCCCTGGGTATGGACGGTGAACTGGCATCCATATTACTCAAACTTTACAGAATTCCAAAAAGGCCTAGGGCCTAATCTTTTCTCACATTTAAAGAAGTTGGACTAGAGAGAGCCATTCTGATATCAACAAGGATTTATGTTTGTTTCTCAAAGAGCTGGTTGCTGGTTGTCAGGCAGAGGCCCACTCTGGGTTTGACACAAGGCCGGAACCAGAACCTGGGACTGATTAGTGTGTTTAGAGTGATGATGCGCGGGCAGTGCTTCCTCGCAGGACACCAGGGAAGCCCTGTGTCACATCACGCTGAGGAGCAACTCAGCAGGCCCACAGCAGCATTTATTGAGTTCCTGCTATGTGCATATTGATCGAAATCATGGGACACCTATTTTGTCCATTAGCATATTTATGAATGCATTTACTCATGTGGGTGTCAGGGCGTATAAGTCAAATATGTAAGCAAAGTAAGAGGAATATAAAGCTGTTAAGTACTCATCATCTCTCATTAATTAAGATGATAGCTCTCAATTTGTTTAGTCAATACATTCACAAGCCTCTTACTAGTAGAAAATCTGTAGGAATTGATGAGGTGGACATGTCATCTCACACACACAAACTTTTTGAGGTCTTTTGTTTTTTTCCCTCTTTTCCTTGCATTATTCTGAGCATCAGGTAAAGGACAGTGCCAGTCTTAGAGTAGGGATACAGTCAGCGTTTATCCCCTGAGTGAATGACTACAGAGGGTAGCTCTTACGAGCCGCTATGAATTACAGCAGGCTAACAGGCCTGGAGACACTGGAACATCAGGAGGGTGGTGGACAAACAGGGCTCAAAAGCTTGGTTGCCAGAGGGGAGGTGATCGCCTTGGTGTGCAGACAGACTGGGATGGAACCTGCAGGCTGGAGATGTTCAGAGAAAGTGGAGATCAGAAGCATTCAGATAAAGTGCAGGATTCCAAGCAAGACACTTGACCTGGAAAACATGACAGAACATGTTTCTTGTTCCCTTGCAGGTATTTTTAAACATACTCTCTCCATTTCAAGGGCTCTGCTTTCTGATCTGGTTGCAGAGAAGGAACGGCCACTGGTAATTGGACATTTTAATACAGCATCCAGTGTGGGCTTCATCTTAGGCCCCATGGTTGGGGGGTATCTCACTGAACTAGATGGTGGATTCTACCTAACAGCCTTCATCTGCTTTTCTGTCTTCATTCTCAATGCCGGTAAGTTGACATTTAACTGTGAGAAGATTGACTAGTGCATTCATACTGACCAGTCTACCCACACTTCCCTCCTCTCAATATATATATATATATATATTTCGAGAATAGGCAGACTCATTTATAAGTGAATTTGAACCCAATCCTCCCCTGCTGCAGACCTTGTGTGGCTTCCCACATTCTAACACACATGTATCTCTCACAGCCCCATGTCGGGGACTGCCCCGACCTCTATGTGACTCCCTCTACATGACTTCAGTGACCTCTCCCAGTTGACTTCTTGAGTTCTAGCTTTATTCCACAGGAGACCGTTGTAACTTGTTGTTTCTTCCCATTCGTGTTTACTTACTCTGTCTTCTGATTCAAGTTGTGAATATTTGCTTCCTTAAAGAGGCCTTCCTTGGTTATGGAAGACCTCTTTAAATATACAATAATCCAATTTTACTCATAGCTCATTTGAATCTATCTCTTCCCACTCAAACACCCAACCGCATATATAATCAGGAAGTAAACTCCACAGGGTAAAAATTTACTCACTGCTGTCACTCTGCCTAGAACAAGTCAGGCAAATATTTGATGAATAAAAGAATACGTACAGGACTGTCCTGTACGTCACTTGGTTGTAGGGCCAGTGGCTTAAGGCAAAATGAATTATCCCCTTTGCCAGAGACTGCTGATTGGCCAGTGTTCAAGTAAACAAGAAGGGCAATGCTGTTCCCATTTTCCTTAAATTAATAATACTCTGCTTTATTGCAAATTTTTGAACTGCCTATTCAAGGCTCCAGATTGAGTGGCAAATTCCATATTGGATTAGAATATCAGACTTGCACAGCAAAGTTCCTGAATGAAGTCTCAATCCTCAAAAATACTTTGGATTTTATGCCAAATGTTTAACCTATACAACCTCAGCCAGATCTGATGAATTCGTGAAGTGCAGGTAAAATGACGTGAAGCAAATGACCAGTTGGTGTGACCACATTTCTTCACTTGTAAAGACAGGTCTGTGAAGGTTCTCTCTCTCAAAGTCAAAAGTCAGCCTGTGAACAAAGGACATGAGTGTGGGGCTCTCTTTTGGGTTCTTTCGTGTCAGTGCTACTCATTACTTTGCCCTAGCCTAAAGCTATGATGGGAACTACAGGTGTTCCCAACTACAGTGACTTAAAATATTAGGGATTTGACTTTCTCGCCAAGGGGGTGGGTGATGCCGAGAACCGTGGAAGAGGAATAGGAACGTGGGACGGACCGGAGCAGCCCGCGTCTCCCAGGGCTTTGCCTTCCGGCACAGAGAGCTCGGTGATTGTTGCCAGTTTTACCGTAACTTTATACTCAGCAAGTACCATGATCTTTCTTAAAACCCTCTTTCAGCAACTTAAATCCTTGCCTTGTCCTCTGAATTGCCTGAGAAAGGACTTTATCTCTTTTTTTCTGCTTTCTGTTTTCATGGCTAAAGTCTCAAAGTCTGGAGCCTGACAGACATGGGTTGAAACCCCCTCATTACTCTTGGTAGGCTCAGCATTGGTGTAGGCCACCTCACAGACTGTGTGTGCAGCTACAGGTGGTTTCACGGCAGTTTGCCCCACTGCCTGGCAGAGAAGCACTCAGTAGATGCTAGTTGCTGCCACCATCATCAATTTTATTATCACTTTAATTCTTCCTTTTAGTCCATTAGAGACAATTGTTTCACATGTTTATCAAGTTTCTATGAAATGTCCAAGGACCCTATTCAGATAAGAACAAATCAAAATTTCTGTCTCCTCATATGGTTAGACATCTGGACCAAATAATGGTCCGCTTAGACCGTATTTAGAAAAAACACACAAATGCAGTTGCTGAACGCAAGCTGAGAAACAGCACTGATTAGTGTTTGGCTCAAATTCAACTGAGGTGTTGAAGGCCTAAAAATCCTTCAGGGATAGGTTTGAGAGGATGTCCTAGAATGGAATGAATTTAGTTTTAAGAAAATCTTTGGGCACAGATTGGTAAGAGGCCAATCTTGGATGACATGGGAGAAATAAAACAATATAGGCAGAGCAGTCAGGCGAGGGCAGAGGGAGGATTATTCCAAATAGAGAGAACAGCTGCTGCATCGGCTTGTATGTCACGGTCCACGAGAATGCCACAGAGTTTGAGGTGTGATTTGCTAACCACCGGTGGCTCCGACTGGGAAAAGATCCGTGCATGTACTTCCTGACAAGTCCTTGGTGTCGTTTTTCCTGCTCCTCCCTCCGCCAACCGGCTGTCCCTATGCTCCCCACAGCAGAACACTGCTGTATTCTAATTGCCTGTTTATTGTCTGAATCACCTTTAAGAGTTAAGTCTGTTGAGGACAGGACTTTAGATTCCATGTCTTATTGAGATAGTCTTAGTGTTTAGCACAGGACTTAGCATTCTAAAGTGCTCTCTAAATAATCAGCGTGTGGGTACATGAGGATAGATGGGTAAATGGGTGAATAGATGGATGGAGGGCAGATGGTAGACAGGCAGAGAATCAGAAAGTTAGCAAAGGGAAGAATTTAAACATAAGAATTTAGATGCAAAAGGATTTAGGAAACCATCATAGGCTCTTGAGCTATAGGAAAATTAGTCAATGTTTTGTAGGTATAGATTTTGTTAAAGTGAATCCGCTATCAAAGTTAAGTAGAAGTAGCTGTGGAAATAGCTAGAAATTGGATTAAAAAATACGGATTAGTAAACTTACTAATACAGGAGTACAGAATAGTAATCTAATACAAATAATTGTTTCTGCCCTGCAGAGCACTGTGTAAATGGGTGATTTCAGCCTATTCAAACAGGATTCTGTGCCTTTTTTTAACAGGTCTGGTATGGCTGTTTCCATGGACTGCAGTAAAACTAGACAGCACAAAGAATGGCCTGCAGGTAGGGAAACACAGTGGGTTTTGGGGACGGAGAGACCACCAAGTGCTGGGAGCGGACACCACGCGTGAGACCGCGGCGAGTGAGCACAACGCTCGGCTGCCCTGGGTGGAAGTGGTGTCCACGCTGCAGAGCATGAAGAGCCTGATCTTTTCTGAGATGTGGGACATACTTCTAGTGCGCTTGCTGATGGCCGTGGCCGTCATGCTTTACCACAGTAATTTTGTCCTGGCCCTAGAGGAACGCTTTGGGGTGAGGCCCAAGACCACAGGCTACCTCATCAGCTACAGCAGCGCCGTGGGCGCCCTCGCTGGCCCGGCCCTCGGGCCTGTCATACAGCTGTACAGGCACCAATCCCACACCCTCCTGCTGCACTCCAGCACGCTCACCTTCCTGCTGCTGCTGCTCTACTCCACGGCGCCCACCTTCAGCGCTGTCGTCTTCTGCTCTACCCTCCTTTCCTTCTCCACCGCCATTGGCAGGACATGCATGACGGACCTGCAGCTGACTGTAGGGGGCACCCAGGCCAGCGGCACCCTCATTGGTGTGGGACAGTCAGTGACAGCGATGGGCCGGATCATTGCCCCCCTCCTCTCGGGAGTAGCCCAGGAGGTCAGCCCATGTGGCCCTCCCGGTCTGGGGGCAGCGTTAGCGCTAGTGGCTGTTTGCGTAATGTCACTAAACAAATCTCGATACAGTGGTGATAGAAATGTCAGATTTAAAAGTGAATAGAAAGGATTTGGACTACGTGAGTGAACAAAATGCCAAGTGAATGAATGAGGGACAGAGGCCATGACAGAACGGGGGCTTTGCCAGGGTCATGGTGAAGGAAAGCGACTTACTTCTGAGAGACTGTTTTGGTGGCATCTAGTCAGACCCGGATGGAGCAAAGTTAGGGTCGGGGAAGAGCTTTACCAAGGTGGAAGATGTTAAATACTTACTTACCTAAGTCTGTTCTTCGGAGCCAGTGCAGGTAAATTTTTCAGGAGAGTTATTGCTCCCCACTGCCAGGCGAGGGAATAATGGTGGGACAAACAGAACGTAATACATGCAAACAGGGAAGAGACCACAGGATTTCACTAATAAATAAGAAAAAGGGCCAGATTTCATGTTAAACTCCATTAGCTAAAAGGGAGATTTTCTACTATCAGAATCTTAGAGGCGGAGAAGCTGCTTCATTAAAACAAGCCTGTCACTTTTAAAGTACTAGCGAAGTTAGGAATACTTGTTCTAGCTGGGGAACTGGTTAAAGCTCACAGGCTGATTTCATGAGCCTGGGTCAGGCCCAGAAACTTCCAGTGTTTAATAAGCACAACATGCAATTTCTTATTAGTAGGAAAAGAATTATTTTGAGATATAATGCTCTTGATTAAAATAAAAGCCAGAGACTTGGTTGTTTTTATGAATAGCTAGCTGTTAGAATGGTATATTAGTGTGTTACTCCTATGATGTATGATTACAGGAGAAAGCACTTTGTGGGGTCTGTTCCCTGCATCCATTGCCTCTGAAGCCACATACCCTGCAGAGAGCTGAGCTTGTGTATCTGACAGATCTACCTGAGATCAGGTTTGAAGATCTGCTACTGGGAGGCCAGCACTCTACCAGCCTAGTGGCGACAGAAGCCAAAGCACAGAAATACTTGAAGAGGAGCAGTTTATGTAGAGTAGGTGTCCTGCCATGTTGGAGGAACATAACTCTTCAGCATCTTGTGTTGAAAGTAATTTCCTTTATTTCTTTTTACTATCACACCTGCAGGCAGAGCACTGTAGTGATCTACAGGGAAGCATTATGCTTAAGCAGTATGCCTTTTGTGAGGCCTAGAACAAGCTGCCATTCCAGGGACCAGCTGAGAGGCCCAGAGTGAGCTGAGTACTAAGGCAGGCATTTACTGACTGTGGGAAAGATATTAACTTCAATAAACATTGTTTCTGAACTTCCTCTCACCCTCACATAGCCAGGCAAAGTTCTCTAAATTAGTCCATTAGGATGGTATTCCTGTTTTCTACCCAATTCAAAAATAATTCCAAATGATATCTTGATGCATTGTTTTGTTTTAACTCTAATATTTATTATGTATTAAGTGGAAAACATAGTTCTGTAGTTCTAGAAGTTGTGGGAGGTAAGCTCAAATATGGATACTAAAGACTAAGTTGGAAGGCCAAAGATTGTCCTTTTTCCTGCCCAACTATAAAGAAAATAAGAAGTCTCCATTGTGTTGTAATTGTGAACTTTTTAAGGTGCCAAGTGCTACTAATGAGAATGAACTATGATACAAAATTAATGAGTGTGCCAAACTGTGGATATTGGATTCAATAGACAAGAAATGTAATGAATTAGAATTTAAAAAAAATTTCTCCAAAGACTAGCTTTTCTTTATTCTCAGAAAATAGGCCTGTTTCTTAGAAGCTTTCAAAGATAGCCATGTTTGAACTTTTAAAAAATCAGAGCCTTATTTTCAGAGTTAAAATAAGTCTCTTAAGTTTAACGAGTTCATAATTAATCTGACACGTTGAAATCTGAAAACCAAAGATTGATTTTGTAGAGAAACATCTTAGTATTCTCCATTAGTGATTTCAGCTTTCCATGTTTGTGATTCTGTTGAGCTGACTCTTCCTTACAGCTGCTCATAACCAGTCTGATGTTGCTGCTCACTTGACTGAGGACACTGGTGTTAGCATCCCCCCACCCTGCAGACACGCCAGCACCCCCAGCACCACCGCCCCCGCCCCTGCCCAGACCATTTCACAGCTACCCTGCTGCTTTGCACATCCAGTAAAGTTTGAAAACCACTGGTCTATTTGTGCAATTTATGGAATATGATCTCAGGGAAATTAAATGTCATTAATAAATGACAATTAATAAAAGTCATTTGTTTTTCTTAATACTCTTGTGTGATTTCTGTAATAATCCTTTCCATAATATTAGGTTGAATGACATGAAATTGCTATTTTTATAAATTAATGTTAGTTACAGTTGCAGATAGTTCAACTTCATATTACATGGAACCTTTCAAAGGTACTGAACTTGCCTGAGAAATTGATAAAAGAAAATGGTGCCTATCAACAGTATGCCAGTCAAAGCTGGCAGTGAGTGAAAAAGCCTGAAGATTTGGGGTTTCTAGAAGTCTTGGCCTTCCTGCAGAAGTTAGGTGCAGCATTGCCCTCGTGTTCAAAGAAACGAGCAAACTTCAGGAAGAGAGATTGGCTAGGAGAGAAATCTGTGCCAGGAACCAAAACCCTTGTAGCGAAGAGCAGGGGCTGGCCTGATCTGGCTACACAACCAGTTAAAGCACAACACCATGAGGCTGTCTGCAACCACTACAGCACAGGTTCAGTCCCCGGCCACAGAGCTGACCCACGTGGCACAGTAGACCTGTCTCACCCATTGCTCCCCCAAGCAATGTATTTCACTCGATCTGCCTATCCCCTGCCCTGGTAGTGTCTGAACCCCTAGCCCAGCAGTACCCCCACTTGGCCAAACCTTGGGAGGTAACTGGACAAGGAATGACTGAATCAGGGATGTCCTGTCCCCAACAGACTTCTCCCAAACCCAAGCTGCCATAGAGACCCTTCCCCATGTACCTGGGGATCAGTGCGTCTCCACAATATATGTCATTGAGTCCTAGCATTTCCTGGCTTGGCTTCAGCATTGCCCACTAAGCATGCCAGATGCCACAAATGCAAAGAGGTAACACGCAAAGAGTTCAGACCTTCTGTAAGGGCAGACAACTCAGAAACAAGGCCGCACCTTCCTGGAGGTCAGATGAGTAGGCTGGAGGCATCTAGGATAAGAGGCAGGGATTCAAATGGGAAAGTGGAACATTAGATTAGCAAAATGAGGGAACCAAGGAAAATAATCGTTAGTATAAATTTGATAGGCTAAATGACTTCTGGGTCGAGTTGTTCCCTGTAGTCTCCAGACTCTCAGAGCCCAAGGCAGCGGTTCAGTGGGTTTCAAAGGAAGACACTGCATGGGTAAAAGCCACAATACACTAGGGTGATGGGGGCCCGTGAGCCCACAACCTCTCCCAGCAGCCACTGGTTCCTCCAGCAGGACTCGCCTTTCCCTGCCCCACTTGCAACTGCATGAGTTCCCAGGTCACACATGTCCATGTGCAAGGACCATGGAGAGGACCAGGGCCAGCCATTGCCTCCCAAGACTTTGGCCTTGGGTGAACTCAGGCTCCTGTGTTCCCCTCTCCCCCCTCCGCGTGGTCCTACACTCTCAAGATGGGTGGTGTTTAGGAGAATGCGGCACCGACTGTTTGAAGCCCCACTTTACCTATTTCAAAACGGATCAGAAAGCATAAGGAACTTGCCGAAGCTTTCTGGTATTAAATCCAGTGCTGTGAATAACATTTAGTCTTATCAGTCTAAGAGGAATTAGAAACAAAGAGGATGTCATTTCTTCCTGCAGGGTGGGAATCTTGCCCTGCATTTGACAATCTCAACCTCAAAGTTCTCCTCATTTTCCCAGTTCTGAGAAGAGTGCCCTTCTGTCCACCCAAGTCAGAAACTGGGTCTCCCTGGGCTGTACTACCCACCCAATAGAAGGATCTAGTTCTCATTGAGCTCAATGAGAGTGTGTGTGTGTGGGGGGGGGTGGGGAGTGGGGAGGAGGCCCCTGGACAGCCCACGGGCTCATGCTTGTTTCATAACTGCCTGTTCAAACCCAGGGGCCAAGCTTCCTGTGGTGAGAGGCCTGGGCCCCATCTCTCCCCTCCTTGATGATACTGCCCAGTGGTTTGGAACCGTTACCTGACCAACTAGACTGCTGTCCTGTGCTCTCTGACTATGAGCTAGTCCGTGCCCAAACCTTGTTCGGGCATTGCTGCTGCCCCCAGGGCGGGGATGAGGAAGCCCAGTGTCCCAGCCCCTTCCTTTGGCTGCCAGTCAAAGTCTGCCTAGTTTGGCCCACCATTACTCCTGCCTTGACCCATGTTCAGCGATGGTCAACAGCTTCTGCTTTCCCAGCCTGGCCAGTTGGGCACACCCCCAAGAAGAGGTGACAGCACTTCCAGATAAGGCAGGAATATAAAGGGGGAGCCCCAGGTAGGCTCCCTACACCTCCCTGTCTGCAGCACCATGGCCTTCCTCTGGCTCATCTCCTGCTTTGCCCTCCTGGGCACAGCTTTTGGTGAGTACAAGGGCTCACTTGGGCTGGGAAGCCAGCTCCCTTTTCTCAAGTCCCCAGGCCAGCAGGGGTGGCAGGAGGCCATAGCTCAGAGTTCAGCCTTGCCTGGTAAAATGAGCCCCGAAAATCTCTCTCCCTATTGAGCCTCATGGCCAGTCTCTAAAATGGAGAGGCTTACAGGATTGGACCAGAACAGTTAACGGACTCTAAGAAGGATGAGCAAACTTTCCTGGGGTTGTCCCGAGGCCTCCTGAGCACAGAAAAGAAGTGTTCAAAGGAACAGAAGCTTCTCAGACAATCAGTGGTTCTTGATTAGGCTCAGATGGCAAGTGCTGGCAGGTGTTTTAAATCACCTTCACCAGCTCTCTCTGTGTGAGGAATAGAGCAGCTCTGTCTTTGCTGCTCTTGGGATTGTAGCCTGAAAGCAACTCTGGCTGGGTAGTGACTATACGATCCCCATTTGCTCAAGGGTATCTGCGACTCAGGATGGTTAAGGGAGGCAATGGCTGCTGGGTTCAAGCCACAGAGTCCAGTCTCCCGCCCATACTTTATGCTGGCATTGCCTTGCCTTTGACATATTGGCCTGTCTGTGCTGAAGCATTTGGCAGATAGTATTCCTGGATTCCAGCAAACCTCAGGGTTCAGGAGACCCAGAGTCAGCCTGACCTATACCTCTTCCCCATATTCCACCCCCAGGCTGTGGGGTCCCAGCCATCCAGCCCGTGCTGAGTGGCCTGGCCAGGATTGCCAATGGGGAAGACGCCGTCCCTGGCTCCTAGCCCTAGCAGGTGTCCCTGCAGGTGAGAGGCAGTCTGAGCCCCAATGGGCTCACTCTGGGCTATAGGCTCACCAGGTGGGGGCTGCTGCCCAACTGGGTGAGGCTGGTGTCTGGCCAGGACTGAGCCTCCCGCAACTAATCCTTTAACTCTTTGGTTTCTCACCTTCCTTGTACTGGAAATGTGTAGAAAACACCAGTCCCGCCCTTCTCCCAGGGTGGTTTGGGAAGGAAACACTCAGCAGACAGCAATGTCCCTGGCGTGGTTTCCTGAGTGTCCATGCCTGGGCAGCACCACATGGGCATGCACACGGGCCAAGGCACACATGCACACTTGCACACTCACATGCACATACATGTACCCTGCAGCCCCCTCCGGGACTCTCACCTCACAATAGGCACCCATCCTTTCTCTGGCCTCCAGAACCTCCCACTGGGTGGTAGCCGGAGAGTTTGACCAGGCCTCAAGCGCCGAGAACATCCAGGTGCTGCAGATTGCCCAGGTAAAGTGGCCTCAGGTTGGGCCTCCCGTGGGGTGGCCCTTCTGAGTATCCAGCTAACTCGGCCGGGCCATGAGGCCCATGAACCCACCACGTAGGCTGGACACCACAAGCCTTCCCCATCACCACAACAACCATGATGGAGCAAAGCAGAGGGGGGTGGGGGTATGGGAGGGCCCACGCTGAGGGGGGTCTGCCCTCAGCACGAGGTCTCAAGTCCTGCAGCCCGGGAAAGAGCTCGGGGCTCAACAGCCATTGTCCACAGAGGCAGCAAGGGGAAGCCCGAGTCCTAGTCCTGCCCCTTGCCAGTTCCTCCCAGACCCCAACTGAAGCTGTCCACCCCTCCCCCCAGATCTTCAAGAACCCCAAGTTCAACATGTTCACCATCAACAACGACATTACCCTGCTGAAGCTGGCCACCCCCGCCCGCTTCTCCCAGACCGTGTTTGCCGTGTGCCTGCCCAGCGAGGCTGATGACTTCCCCGCCGGCTCCCTGTGTACCACCACGGGCTGGGGCCTGACCAAGCACCCCAGTGAGTGACCCGCAGCGGGCCAGGTGGGCAGTGAGCGGGGCCGGGCAGGCGCACCCACAGCTGCTCACCACTCGCCTGCCCTTCCAGATGCCAACACCCCCAACAAGCTGCAGCAGGCTGCCCTGCCCCTCCTGTCCAACGCTGAGTGCCAGAAGTACTGGGACAGCAAGATCACTGACCTCATGGTGTGTGCTGGAGCCAGCGGTGTGTCCTCCTGCATGGTACGGCTTTGGGCTCTGCTGGGGCCCCCGCCCTCCCATCATGGGTGAGTCCAGGCCAGGGTCTTGGCAGAGAGAGGAAACGAGTCACAAGCAGGCGCCTTGGCGGCCCTCCCCTCCCCTTTGGCAATCCTGCCGGAGTGGTGTGGCAGGCAGGGTACCGATGGGGGTGTGCTGACCTCAGCAGACGGGTGCCAGAGTGACGGCCCTGGTGTCAGAGCCCCAGATGACAACATTTCACTGATGGCACCATCTGAGCAAATGGACCTCCTGGGATAGAACAGTGTGCAGCAGTACATGGGCTCCAAAAGGACTCCCCTGCCTGGTCCAACATCACCTCCCACCCTGCTTTCTTCTGATCTAGGAAGCTAACATCATGAAACCATTACTGTGGGACCCTACACCGAGTGACCCAGGGGCACAGACCACAGGAGTGGCTGCGTGTCTTTCGGAACGCCCCTAGTATTCTTGTACCCAACATAAGTTGCTGTCCATTTCCAGTCTGGGCAGGGAGACAGCATCCAGGGTCCCTGGGCCAGGCCACATGGGCTGCCAGAGATGAATCCCCACTCCCCTCTCCCACAGGGTGACTCTGGCGGCCCCCTGGTGTGCCAGAAGAATGGCGCCTGGACCCTGGTGGCCATCGTGTCCTGGGGCAGCGGCACCTGCTCCACCTCCAGCCCCGGGGGATATGCCCACGTCACCGAGCTCATGCCATGGGTGCGGGAGATCCTGGCTGCCAACTGAGCAGTCTCCACGGCCACTGCTAAGCCTGCTCCCTGAAGCATCAATAAATAGATTGAAGCTTTAGCCATGGCGTCTGTTTCCCAGTCTCCAAGGCTGCATCCTGTGGGCATCTCGTCTGCTCATCTTGCAGTGGCACATGATTGTGCCAGTCACAGGTAAGGAGGATGATACTGGTAGGAATTCTGAAGGGAAATGTCTTTTTTTCTTGGACAAAATGTTAAGCTGCTTGGCAGCTGTTACTCAATGTTCTCCTTTTTCTCACAAATGTGTGGTAAGAAAAGAGCCTATCTAAAAATTGCACATAAAATATAGCAAGCTATATATTTTGCTCTGGAAGCAAAAATGCTAACTAAAAGTTCAGATTACCACACTGACTGATAAGCCTTTCGGGTCCAGGTTGAGGGATTCAATAGATAGCGTTGAAGCTTCAGCAGTGAAAGATCTCTTTCATAACTCTTCGTGAATATAGTTGTATACACATTGAACAAAATGTACAAAAAATATTACACATAAAAATGCCCATTTTAACATAAGCAGAATTTGGGCAGTGCCAAGAAATACATAAAAAAAAAAATGCTGAGTCACGTGCAGTAAATCCACTCAAAGCCCTGGATAGATTCATGGAAACCGATTTCCAAGTGAAATGATAAGCAAGCCAATTTTATCACTGCATAATTGATATAAACAGGATTTAAGTTCCTACAGTATATTTCTGGTCACAAAATCATCAGCAAATATATAAATAAAGACCCCAAACAGTTCTCTTATTCAATAGTCATTGGTATTCATTCACTCATTTCCCAGTCTTCTTACTCCAGGTCTGGATCTTGGGTGGTGGGAGACTTACCTGGTAGCTCAGAGTGCAAGGTAGGAACCTAGACAGGACGCCCTCTTCGCGGTAACACTCATGCATACATCACCCTGATTCCCATTGGGGCAATTTAGACACATCAATGTGTGCGCCTTTGGAACATGAGAAGAGACCAGATTACCCGGAGAAAACCCTCACAGAAGTGGTGCCGACCCACAAACTCCACCCAGATATTCCTGGTGGGAATCTATTTTGTTTTTCCTTATCAACATTTAAAACAAAATTAAACAATGTTTTCAAAGACCAGCTATAATAATATAATAAAGAACTGCTTGTTCTTTATATATATATATATAATACGTGCCCTTGTCCCATACACACATAGGAAACTATGCCCTCTCCACAAAGCTTAGTCAAAGATGAAGGGAATTTCAATGCAGATATTTTGGGGACACATACTTCAAGCATAATTGTTATCAATGACTAATAGTTTGCTATTAGATAACATAACTATTGCCACTGGTGGACTAGAGCATCACAAAGAAATAAACAGACTGTTCACTTGCAGGCAAGTCAAATCAAATTTGTTACAAAAGATATTGATGACACAGGAATGTTCCTCTAGAACTTAGTTTGGATCAAGTGCTGTTTGAAATGAAGGAGACACTTACAAAGGGCTAGAGACCCTCCCATATTATAGAAATGTAAATTGTTATGCTAGTGAGTTAGGTTTTCAACTCCATATTCTCTCCTACAGGGTACAGAATTTAATAATTTTATAAAAAAAGAAATAAAGAGAAAAAACTAAACAAATTCAAATTTATTTTCATTACTTTAGTCATTTAACAAATCTGAACAAATTTACACTGATAACATATATGTTCCTTTTTAGAAATTTACTCATCGAATTGTTATTTTAATGAATGAAACCTGAATATGGTTTCCTGTTTTAAAAGAAGTGATATATAGTTTGTTTTCTCCTACAGTTCCAGAAAGTTAAACTCTTGATAATCAGATATACATATAGTGTCTTAATAGAGAAAACCAGGAAATTTCCTTTAAAGGTAATTTTCCATTTCTGCCTTTCTTGTCAGATTTCATAACTTCTAACTTTTGAAAATTTATACTCTTGGTATTCTCAAAAATACACATCACATCTCTCTGTGAATCATATTCCTAAAATAAGTTTCTGAATTGAAAATCCGCTTTAGTTCTCTTCTGTAGGTAAAATATAAGTTTCATATAAATATTTACTTTTTAATAGAGGCGTTTGGCACAGGGTCCTCAGTATATAGTTTTTGTATTGGGTCTACATGGCTTTCCACTGATCCGCTTAGAGAGTTTGGGAAAGAAATTTGTGCTCTTCACGTACACAGACTTGTGCGTTTACCGTTTCTCTGTCTCACACTAAACAATCTAGCAATATTCCAAAATTTTAAAACATGAGAAAAGAGGGTAGATTTACTGCTGCAAGTTGCTGGGGCTAGAGGAAGATAGAGAGAACCACCGCTATTTCTCCGTACGGGATCATTTCATTTCCTTTACTCAGTTTTTTCCACCAGTATAGTATGTTCACTCATCTCCTCTAGCGTATCTCCAATGTGAACCCAGAAGACGACATCAGTAACTTGATTTCATATCTAATTCGAGACATTTAGTCTTGTTCCAGTCAAGTTTTAAGGAAAGGTTGCTCAGCAAAAATGACAGGACAATAAAACGTCCATTTCAAGAGACCAAGATTCAAATGTTAATTTTTAATGATTATGTTCTTTTCTTTTTGCTGTACTTTAAAAAAAGTAATCAGATAAGTGGAATTCATTGTACTATTAAGTATTTGAGTTATTACTTTATTGAGGGGAAAGAGGTAACAAATTACAGACTAGTGCAAAAATATAGAACCCCCACATTCTCCAAAGTGCTTCCTGAATAAAATGCAAAACCTGAAATCTCGGTCAACTTGTTAAACATTGGAGTACTGTTTCATCCTTGTTAAACATTGGAGTACTGTTTCATCCTTGTGTCCTTGGAGTATCTGACCTGGACTCAAAATTCTAGAATGTTCTACCGAAAAATTCAAAAGCAGGTGGGCATGATAGAAAATCCCCTCCATCCTTCTCCTAGTATTGCACAATATAAAACCTGCCAACCAGCTGTAAGCAGCATTGTCCCCTCTCCCCAACATCGCAGGAGGCTCACCTAGAAGGAACTTCATCAAAAGCTGCACCAAGCCTGTCACACACCCACAAAGCCTTTCTTTTTGCACCAAAGAGACAAGGAGACATGGAGTACAGGTGTCACCCCAAAATTCAAGGTAGAATGAGAAGCAAATGAAAAACCAGTTGAAGATCTGAATGTTTTCCTTAGTTGAGTCTTTGGTACTTGCATTCACGCTGTGATCTTTACAACTGGGCTATCAGGCTAGAGTAGGGAAGTGCCTTGAGCGAGCTGATGCCCCCCCCATCCATTACCCTTGAGACAGATGGTCAGAATATTTTTAGTGTTATTCACTTAAAAAGTGACAATAGATATATGTATTTCTCCATAAATAAAATTTGAGGCATATATGTATATATTAAAAATTTCACCAATAGGATGTGTTAAAAATTTCAAAGTTCTATCATTCAAGTTCAGTAAAGGCACACTTTTTTTTTTCTTTAGACCTGCAAAGAATACAACTGCTAGCAACAAGTCAATAAGGGCATTTGATAGGACTTTTTTTTCTTTGATTTTCCTTCTTCTTGGGATCAGCATTCCTCCCATTTATTAATGGCAAGACTCTACCACCCAAAAACAGTATTTAGATGCCTAGAACTTTAAATGGATTCCACTGTGTGTCAGGTTTCAGAATAAAAGACCACACCTAGGCTGGTGCAGTGACCAGATCTGCTTTGGCGATTCCCATTAAGGCTTCTCGCTTCCAAATCGGGGTTTCCGGTTGCCAGGCTCGGATGCTCTTCGAACCAGCCTGGGAGGTGGCTTGGGTGGGACACCTTCAGTCACACTGTCTTCCCGCCGCAGGCTAAAATGGCCTTTGGAGAGAAGTGGCTGCCTTAGCACACCTGGAGTCTGGGTGCTCCCCTCTTTGTTATGGGGAGCAGGGAGGGCGCAGGGCTGCCCTTGGCCGGAATCAACATTTACCTCATTCTTCCATTCCATTTTATATGTCTGAGGGGCTTTCTTTGAGAACTGTTCTGGCAAGAAGCGCCTTGCTCGTGGCTGCAAATTGAGGACTGTGGTCCCAGCATCTGTGTCTGAGTCACTGCTATTGCCACCTAGCACAGAGAAGAGGACAAGGTGAGCAAACATTTTAGAAAAAGGGTGCCACTAATGACTTGGTAATACATCCAGGGGTGCTGCAACTGCTGTGTCCTTGGGTTCTGGGGGCCGGTTAGGGGGTCAGAGGGCTCACTAACTTTAACTGAGATCTAAGCTTGTTGCATGATCTGTGTGCACTCATGTCTCCACATAGGTACTGTTACTAACTTTAGAGCGGTTACTGTATGCTGTACTCCACCGGGAGTATTTTTAAATGCATCCATCCATTTAATCCTCTCCATCATCCATTTTACACATGTAGCAACTGAGGTTGTTCATGCCTAAAACTCAAACAGAGCCCACCTGGCAAGGCAGCTGTGCTGACCTCTGTCCCCCAGGATAGATTCTGGACTCAGATCAGTGTCAGCACTATGGAATCAGCAATTATTAGGAAGATTCTTGTCTTGACTTGGAACCTCATATGCAATCTTGCTTATTCTTTTACATTTTCATAAAAGTACACCAATGTACACTTTCCAAAGGGAGGAAGCATGGCCAGATCTAATTGACTGCCAATGTTCAGGTCCCAGGACAACTGGTGGGGTGCTCTCCCACGGGTGAGGCTGCTGGACTGGAGCGCATTTTTGATGCCCCCCAGCGGCTAACATGACCCAATCCTACATAGGCAGCACTGTCTTTTAGTCCATTTTTCTCTCCCCCCATTTTTCATCTCACTGTCCATTGCCACCAGCCATCACCAGTCTTTCCTGCTCTTGGATAATTAAATAAATAATCAAGAAAAGGGGGTGGAAAAGGTTATACTTGTCATGTCTCATATTTAATAAAATGATGTTCTAACAGACTTCTCCTGAAATTCACAGAAAATGGCTTGGGCTTACATAAAGACTGCCATCAAATAAAGACATACTAGACT